CACCTTGCGTTGGATGGATCCGACCAGGACCGTCAACGGTCCCAAGACGCCGCGGATCGTACGTGTCCACGACTCGACGTCCCAGTCATACACCCCCGTCCTCTCGGTGATGCCCAAGCTGAAGCCTGATTCGTGCAACATCTCGAAGAGTGTCCCTGCGGCTCGCGTGACGTTCGTGAGCATTTCAAAGTCCGGCACCCGGAAAGGACCCGTGAACTTGGTCGCGTTGGGCTTGATGAAACGCAGGATCGGATCGTGCTCCAGCAGCCGGATCAGCTCCACTCCAGCAAGCATATACCTCATCTCTGCCGCGGTGAACCGATTCCCTGTGTCATTGCCTCTCGCCTTGACCGGCGGTCCATCCGCTGAATCCGGCGCGCAGAGCTTCTCCGGAGACTTGCGCTTGCGCGACTCGAAGCTGCTATTGAAGTCCACACTCGATTGGTATCGAGGTGGCGGCAAGGGCGTGGTCGTCGAGGTCTGGTCTGAGCCCGTCGAGGAACTCGGCGCGTCTTGGCCCGCTGAGAAATTCGTCGCGTCTTGTTTGACGGATCCGGCGAGAATCGTCAAGAGCTCCTGCACGACGCGAATCGCGCGCAACCAGGACTTGAGGTCCCAGTCGCACAGCTTCTCCATCTCGAAAGATCCCAGCACGAATCCCGAATCACGCAGCATCTGGAAGAGAATCGGCGCAGCGTGGGCGACGCTGGTGAGACTATCGAAGTCCGGCGCGACGAAGGGGCCCGTGAAATTGCTCATCAGCATGGGCTTGAGGAAGACCAAGATCGGGTCTTGCTCCAGCAGCCGGAAGAGCTCAGTGCGCGCCACGACGTATCGCACCTCTTCGACGGTGTACTAGCGCCCCGCGTCCTTGCCTTGCGGCTTGGACAGCGACCCTTCCGCCGAGTCCGACGCGCGCAGCTTCTTCTTCTTCCTCCTCTTGGGCGACTTGCGCTTGGCGGCCGCCTTGGCGGTGGGTTGTTGTTGGTCGTCGGCCTTTGCAGGCTTCCGACCAGTAGGACCGCGACTTACGTCGCGGCCATTCGCGGCTCCCTCGTCGGGAGCCACATCGGGAACGGCAAACTGTTCTTCGTAGCCCTGCTGGTCGTCGCTGGCCCCATGGCCTGTGGTGAAGGTTCCCTCAGAGCTCCACGACGCGACAGGTCCCTCACTGTGCTCTCATGCAGTCGGCGACCTTCCAGCCGACCGCGCACCTGCCTCCGATGCCTCTTGGATCGTTAGCCCGTCATTCGAAGTAGTACTCCCGGGTCGCGGCACCATTGTGGAGTAGCGCCCTCGCAGAAATCTCGCGAATGCGATCTCGCACAAACTCGGCGCGTCTGGATAGCGGTTGCGCCGAGCAAATTATTCCCGGTTGTTGGAGTAGCGTATCTTCGAAATACAGGCCCAAGTCTTCGCTGGCTTCGGAGTTGGGGGTTCTTGCGTTGACGCTTGTTCCTTGTCGTAGGGCGTCGAGCCTTGGGCGTGCGGCGTTATCGGGCCGGCGTTTCCTCGGCGTTCCCGTCGGGCGTGCGGCGTTATCGGGCCTACACGGGGGGTCTTGTGCACGGCGGTTATCAGGCCGGTGCGGTCCTTCGCCTAGGCAGCGCGTTATCGGGCGCCCACCTAAACGGTATACGTTCAACGTGCCTTTGTTCCAGCACGGGTCTGTGGGGGGGTGAGCACCCGAACCAGCAAACGACGGGGGGCCGCGATATCGAGGCGGCTCTACTTGCCGGCGCTTGGTGGTTCCCCTGGAACCTCGGAGAAGACGGGAGGTCTTTGTGGTTCAGAGAAATTTCGGGACTGAGTCCTTACCCTATCCTATGCCCTAGCTACTGGCTACTCCGTACTACTGCTTGCTAAGCCGATCGTTCTGTGCCTATCCCTACTTCTGTCGTGCTTGCACTGCCGTCCTTCAACCTGATTTGCGTGGCGTAATCAAGATCTTACCTCGACGCGTTTTGGTCGGCGCGTCTTACTCGGCGCGTCTTGCTCGGCGGGGATTAGGGTCGACGCGTTTTGCAGAGACGGGGCGCTGGTCGACTCGTCGGATGATTACGCGTCGAGTTGGACTCTGTCGCTGTGTCTCGCGGCCCATCACCCGCGTCGACTTTCCGTCGACCTCTGCCGCGCGTCGCCCCCATCAATCGCGTCGCGTTTCATCAACTGCGTCGAGTTCATCATCCGCATCCATCAGCATTCGTCTCGGCGCCTTCTTTCACCGACGCCGACGTGCCCGCTTCCTCTCTAGGCACTACACCACAAAAGGCTGCGGAGATGAACTATCCTGTCCATGACAAAGAGCTACTTGCGATGAAGTATGCGCTCGTCACGTTCAGGGTGCACCTGTTGGGCTCTCAGACGTTCGTGATTTACACGGATCATGCGTCGTTACGCACTGCGACTCAGTCGTCTCATCTCTCGTAAAGGATGGCTCGCTGGCTGTCCTTCTTCGTGGAGTACAACTTCGAGGTGAAGTACAAGCCTGGCAGGCAGAATGTCCTTGCGGACGCGCTGTCGCGCAGGCCGGATTATGAGCTGGCTCATGTAACGACCGTGACTTCGTCATTACCGGATTTGATCCGAACGGCTTATGCCAAGGACGACACCTGTGTCGCGTTGCTGAAGGCTCTGGGGAGCAAGGAGTTTCAAGACTCGGACATGGAATTGTCAGCGCGGCTGCGCGCGCGGCTACACCGTTATTCCCTCGATGGAGGACTGTTGTTCTACAACACCGGCCCGATGGATACTCCCCGCGTGGTCATCCCTCATGATGAGGATCTGAAGTATTGCATCCTCTATGAGGTACACGACACGCCGCAGGCCGGCCATCTTGGCCGTGAGAAGACCTACAGCTCGGTGAGCACCCACTACTGGTGGCCGAAGATGTACAAGTGGACGAGCACTTATGTGCGCACGTGTGAGACGTGTCAGCGAGTGAAGTCGTCCCCTCATGCTGCAGCGCCGTTGGCGAGTTTGCCTGTCCCATCGGGCTGCTGGCAATCCATGAGTATGGACTTTGTGTTTGGCCTGCCGGCGGACGCGGCGGGCAACACAGGAGTCGTGGTCTTCGTGGACCGACTGAGCAAGATGGCTCACATTGCGGCTGTGCCGGATACCATCGATGGTAACGGTACAGCAACGCTGTTCTTGGACCGAGTGTTTCGACAACACGGACTCCCTGAGTCGATTGTCTCGGACCGAGACCCCCGCTTCACAGGCAACTTCTGGAGCGCGGTCTTTGCGGTGGTTGGCACCAAGCTGGACATGTCCACGGCGGACCGATGGTCAGACAGAGCGCGTGAATCGCGTCGTCGAGGACGTGCTCCGCAGCATTTGCGCTGAGACGCCGAAGCGCTGGAGCGCCATGCTGCCACTCGTTGAGTTTGCGTTGAACAACGCCGTGCACGCCTCGACAGGCTACACGCCGTTCTACGTGAACAGCTTGTCTCACCCCCGCCTCCCGCTGACGCCGCCACGTGGTGGCCTCGGGCTTGATGGGGGAGGAGAAGCTGATCGGCTAGCCGATGTCAGCCCGGCTACTGTTCGTAAACAGGTTGACGCTTTCTTGTCGACGCGTCTGAGTGTCTTACGACATGTGCGTGACGCAATGGCTGAGAGCCAAGACAAGCAAAAGGAACATGCAGATGTCAGGGGCAGAGGCAATATTGAAAGTTATGAGGTCGGGGACCTGGTGTTGCTTAATGCAAAAAACTACCTACACATGCAGTGTCAGCCGTCTTCAAGACGAAGTTGCGCCCGCGCTTCATCGGACCTTTCAAGGTTGTGGCCAAGAAGGGCCTTGCGTACACGCTCAATCTTCCGAAGAAGATGCGGACGCACCCCGTCTTCTACGTGAGCTTGCTCAAGCCGTACCAGGACCCGATGGAGGTGCAGATGGAGGCACCGAGGGTGACGAGGTCACAGGCACGGAGGTCGCAGGCGTCGAGGACGCGACCATCAACGCGGGCACCGCAGGCACAGGCGGAAGAATCGGCGCCGGAGGTGCCACGGGCACAGCGAGAGCCACAGGCGCAGGAGGCGCAGCAGTCGGAGCCTGCATGCGGGCCAGGAGGTCGAGCTTACCCTGAAGCACAGCCTGCTGACGCTGTAGCTCCCCGAGCTCCCGGCCACGCTGCTCATCACGATCGCAATAGCATCGCACCCAGCCCTACAGGGCCCCAAGGCGGTTCCAGCCCTCTCGAGGCACCTCGATCCATTGCGTCCGCTCGGCGAGCTGGTCGAGTTCAGTGGCAGTCCGGCCCAGACGCGCATCAACGTCATGGATGTGATCCCGAAGGCGGCCCGCCTGCTGCCGCGTCTCCAAGAGCTCATCTTGAGTCGCAAAGGGCCCCACAGCGGCCTCCACCGGCTCTGCTCGATGAGCATGGGAATCGGCATTACCATGTGGAGCGCCTCCTGGCGAAGCGGCGGTGCCGGGGTCAAAACCAGTATCTGGTGAAATGGCGAGGGTACCCTCACTCCGAGAACTCATGGGAGTTTGAGGTGCCCCTCCGCCAAGACTGCCCAGACGTCGTGGACGCTTTTGATCAGCTTGATCACCAGCGCCCCGAGGGCTCAAGGCCGGCACGCCGGTCGTCCCGCGATTCCCGGCAATAAGCTGGGGAGCTGCTGGGTCAGCCACTTTGCTCCGAGGCTGACCCTGAGCCACAGCGCTCACTCCCTCGCGGGAAGGAGCGGCTGGAGTGCTCGAAGGAGCGAAGCGCGCAGCGCTAAACTGGGTCTGCGGCTGGGCAAGTGCCGAGAGGCTGCGCTTGACTCGGACCTTCGCGAAATCGAAGCGGAGCTTGCGTTCAATGCGAACATCCACTTCACTGGAGCTGGCTCGGAGAGCATCCATGGAGCTGAGCTTCCGGGTGTGCTCGGTCCAAGACTCGAACTGAGCTTCGTACTCAATTGAGTCTTCCCCCGGGCTAAGTACCCCCGGGTACGTCCGCATGGCGAGCACCGACTTCTGCTGGGCTTGGAGCCGCAAGCGCTCGCGATACTCCGCGACAGCCGTAGACTGTGGAGTGAGGAGTGACACGATGGAATTGGAGATTTTCGAGGATTCCCCGAGCCGCGCCTGTGATTGGTTGGCTCAGAGACTCACTATGGGAGAGGGAGGCAGCGACACGTGGCGTATGGGAAAAGCGGACCCCGGCCGGACTCGCGTTGGCAGTGTACAAGGTTTGGTGACCCCGGATGGAGATGTTCTCAAGAGCGGACCCCGGCTGGAACCAAGTACCGAACGAGAGGCAAAGCCCAAGGGAGCGTAGAAGTGCCTCCGACTGGAGGCCGCCTGCTCTTGGTGCACTGTACAACGCAAGAGGAGCCCGACCGGATCGAGTGAAGACCCAGAAACCGTGAAGCTGTCCAAGACATCCCGGACGTGAAGCCCAAGTGGAGTGTGACCCCGTTTGGAGATAATCATGAATCCCGGATGGAGATACCAAGACACCAAGATACCATCCCAGATGTGAAGATCCAGTATACAAAGTCCAAGATGTTTCCGACCGACCAAGCCGACCAGCCAAGATCTGTTCGGATCCCGTGGAACATTGAACTTCGCTTGCGTACCCAGTGATGATTATACTTGCTGGAAGTATGCTACGAGGGACCGCGGACGATTACGGCGACAAGACCATAGTGAAGACAAGTCAAGATGGAGTGCATGTAAAGATCGACAGAAGATAGCCAGACAGACAGACAGAGAGAGAGACCACAGATAACAGATAAACAGAGTTCGTTTTGCCAAGGATCGCGCAAGTGAGTTGGAGCAGCCTACCGGACGTGGATTCCCGGAGGACCGACTAAGTCTACGTGTGGGGGGCCAGCAACTGTGACATCTGGGTCGAGCTCCCGCAACCAAGTCCAGTCCAAGTTGGGGTGAGTACCGGGCGACAACCCGAGGTTGATCCATCCCATTTCATTTCCTAGTTGCGGTTGAGCTCGTCCAGACCAGGAAGGCCCCGCATTTCATATTACCGATTACCTTGCAACCCCGGTTAGAGTAGCCCCGGGTGGGAAGTATTGATTTAAGAGCTATTGTGTGATAGGAGGTATTTGATTGTGTTAGTTTCCCTCAGTACTTGCGGGTGGTGCACGTGATCCAAAGCCGACCGGGATTGACCAGTATCCCGAAGTCCGGCTGGAGTTGACTGGAATAGTGACCGACCCTTTCACGGTCCAAAAGAATAAGGAAGGGCTACATGTTTGTATATAACTCTGTATCTGTTTGTATTGTTTGGTTATCTGAGGGCTGTCAGAGGCGACGTCCAGGAAGGTTACGTTCTGCCCTGCTACCTAACGACCTACAAGTATCAAGACAACTCATCCACGGTTGAAGACCCCTGGTTACGAAGACAAACGAACCCACAGGGATTGTTCACAAGGACACGGTTAGAGTGTACATCTAGGTGTACTATCTCCGGCTAGGGTTTGTTCTGGGTGCACCCCATTCGGGAGTCTACACCCGGGATATAAGGGGCCTACCTTGGCTCACTACTACGGGTTACACGTATGCGCACGTGTATGAGGAAGCGTAGGTTTCTTTTACTTGAGTTAAGTATACTCGAGATCCACGAGTATACTTTAAACAAGATAAAGACTCCAAGTAGCGTGTTTTGGTAAAAGATGAGAACTGCTATTTTGTTTTATGTTTCTGACTTCCTCTAAATCTAATATTCTAAACTAGGAATCTGCCAACGGCTGGTTGGCAGGATTCTGCTAACATGCAAGTCACTCATTGGCTAAAAGATGCTGCTTTCAGCCAATAGGAATCCTAAATGTGTATGGACCACCCGTCGTGGTGGTCGTAAATGTATGTAGCCATTGGTGTACCTTACACCAAGGTCGAGGAAGTGTTCAAACCTCTAGCAGACATCGCATCTGTTAGCGTAACAAGTGACTGTAGCCACTTGTGCGTGTAACCCCGTTACACGGGACGCGCCCAGCTATACACCTGGGCGGTCAGGCGTTCACCCGCCTCGC